CAGCTCCCTTGGTCAATTATTACCTCCGTTTCACAGGCAAAAGGAGGTCAAGTGGTCATAGATGGTTTTAGAGCAAAAAGGATATTAGAGGTCACCTGGTCCAAACCTTTACTTTTGCCCATGAGGAAACTGAGGTTCAGAAATATTAAGTGACTTGTCACACACTTAGCAAAGCTAAGATTTGAACGCACATCTTTTTGACCTCAAACGCAGAGCTATTTCCATTAACAAGTGACCTCTCGACAGGAGAGTCTCTTCAAAACTGCATCCCACTCCTAACTTCCCTAGTTTTTTCACTTATCCAATCATTTTTCCTGCTCACTCAGCCTTGAAATCTCAGATCCAGTTTTGCTTTCTTTCCCTCTCTCTTGCCTTCCACAGTCTGTCAGTCACCAAGTCCTATTGCTTCTTCCTTTGCAATACCTTTGGAAGTCATCCTTTTTTTTTTCTATTCCCACTGCCAGGGCTATGTATATACAAGATGTATACAGTGTGTCTAAGATCACATAGGTAGTAGTAAGAGACAGAGCCAAGATTTTTGAACCCAGTTCCTTGAAGTCCAAATCCAGTGCTCTATTATATTGTTTTCATTATTGCCTCTCATTTACTTACACTTCATTCAATCATTTATTCAATCAATTGGTATGTATTAAGTGCCATCTATGTGGTAGTCACTGGAGCTACAAAGATACAGCAATGGACCCCTGCCTTCTGACTGAGCCCTACAGCACAGCGACACAAGTGATTTGGCACAGGGTCAGGAGCATAAATGGCCCAGTATAACTATTGATAAAATTCATAGTTTGAATAGCTTACAATTTTGGGCCTAATTTATTGTCTATTTGCAGGGTCTGTCCAAACTATACATACTGGTGGATGACAGGTTTAAGCTGTCCATCTAACTGCATATCATGGTCTAGATAGTAGGCATTCTTCCTGCATTTAGCATAGTGCCTGGCACATAGTAAGCACGTAAGTGCTTATTTCATTCATTTTCTTGATTTTTCTCATATGATTAGTAAAGCCAAACTCTTGTGAATAAATTGAAATCTCACTTAGATGGTAGTAGCATATTTTAGGGCTGATACAACAATGCCATTCACAAACATGAACTTCCGGAGGACCTCATAGTCTTTGACTTGGGCTGTATGTAATATTTCTTCCATGACAGGGACAAACACTATTAGCAAGCGTATGTCAACTTGTTCTATGACTTGCCATAAAATAATGATCAGAAGGCCATTGAGTAGTTATTGTTTATTTGTCTTTTTCAAGTAATCTTTTGTTTTGACATATTTCCTTTTTGCTGGAGGAGAGATGGAATTTGGCTTTACTAAAGCAAACGCTTTTTAAAAATAAGTGACAAGATTGCATATTATCTACATATTTTAATCAATTATATTATGGTAAAGATGTGGTATATTGTAGTATGTCACTTATGAAAGTCTGTCCCCTTCTAACAGCCTCATTCAGGGTGCCTTTGATATACATGTAGCCTATTTTCCTAAACATTTTATTAGATGGGAGAGGAGATGTATTGATTGGTCATTGTTAGTGTTTTCTTGGTCACTTTGGGGGAAGTGATTAGGTTTCCGTAGCGTCTTTGGTGTTTTCTCCTTCCTCCAAAATCTTGACAATATTTCTTTCTACATAGTCCACCTGTTCAAAGTTCAACACTCTTTTTGTGTACACTCAGATGCTTTCCCCATCTTTCTTTCAGTCAGTGCCATTGCTACCACCTCCATAAGCATATCCAGTATTGTAATCCCATATGGAGGGGCATCCAAGAATTTTGATCATGTAGACAGTGTATTAGGAACCCTCCCCCAATAAAATCCTTTGCAGAACTTCCCCATCTTTCATCTTTTTTGTTCTCCTTCCTATTTCATCCCAAAATATCAAAGACAGAGCTTGTTTCATTGAGTCTTTCACCTGGATTACTTTAAATAGGCTTTACCCTCCATTGCTCACTTTAAAAAAAAAATGAGGCAATGAAGCTCATAGTCTTCCAAGAACCTTTTTCAAGTGATTCTATGAAAAATTTCTATTCTAAACTGGCTTTGCCTCCAGTTGCCACATCTCTCCATTACGCAAGTCAGTCTAGTGTTTGCCAGTTAAAGTGTTCTCAGGCATTTTTGGTTTCTTCATTGTGACAATTTGTTTACTTCTTTTAAACTTTTATAAGACATAATTATATATTGGGATCCATCTCCTTCCTTCTACCTGTTTCTCAATTTTCCTTGTCAGTAGAGATGGTTACCATGAGACACAAATATGTATGTATGTGTAAAATCATTCTATATATACTTCTATTTAACAGTTATTTCTCTGGAGGCAGATAGTATCTTCCTTCACAGGTCCTTTGTAATTAATTTGGGGATTTATAATAGTTAAAATGGCTTAGTTGCTCAATGTTGTTCTTAAAACAATATCACTGTTACTGTATACAATGTTCTCTTGGTTTTGCTCATTTCAGGCTTCATTGTTTTGTGCTGGGGAGAGGGAAGAAAAAAAGGAAAAAAAGAAATTTACATGATAACTTTATTATATATTTAAAAGAAATAGCAAGTTGTACATAATAGCTTTGTAGTTTTATGTGTAATCATTTTAAAAAATTCTACTATGTTATAGAAATTCTTATTTTATTTCATAAATTAAAAATAAAATAAAAAATGTCTTGTCAGTAACTTGTTTTTGTAGGTCAGGTAGGAGTTTTAACTTTAGGCCGTATCTTCTCATTTTGTATTTTTCTAGCCTTATTTAATAAATAAATAAAATGAGATGATATTCGTAAAAGCACTTAACACAGTGCCTAGCTCATAGTAGGCACTACATAAATGTTTATTCCCTTCTTTTTCCCTACTTTGTCTTAATTTTTCCCTTTGCTCTAAGAAGTTGTTGGTATGACTGTTCACAGTGAATAATGACTTCCACATTTGCAACGAGTTGACTTCTGCCTGGTGAAAATCAGTTTCTTTTTTTGTGATTTGATTTGGTACTCATACTGTCCATTGCTTTCCAACTCCTTTCTGAAAGAAAGTAATCATGCTACAGAAATGAAGTTTCTGTGTAGTTTCTGAATCTTTGGCCCTTCTCATTCCTTGCTTCTGAACCATACTTCCTAACACATTCTTTTGCATGGTCACCAATTTCCATCTTTGTATTTAAGCCACGGTATCTAAGCATGTTGATTTAATTTGGAGGCTTTTATCAAGTTCTTGGTAGGATTTCTCTACCTTTTCATTCTGTACAGTAGATGTTGCTCTATAAACTGTAGTCATTTTCACGGTGGTCTTTTTTTTCAAATATTTATCATGGAATGACCAAACACTACATAATATGTTTCCTGTTGCCACTTCCTTTATTTACCTCTCCAAGGAGAACCTATGAGCTATCTCTCATTTAGCCATCAGTAATCCTTCAGACTGAGAAAAATGCAAAATGGCCCTGAGTCCCGGGTAGTGCTTATTTTGATTCTGCCATGACAGCAGTAGTATGGTGGAAAAGGGAGCAGAGGATGCTAAGAATTGCAGTTTTTAGAGCATTTATACTTGAACTTGGCTTTGATCTGTCTCAGGGGTGTTGTGAGGTTCAAATGAATTAATGAATGTAAAGCATTTAGGTGGAACAGTGGATAGAGTGTCAGGCCTGGAGTCAGGAAGACTCGAGTTCAAATCTGGCCTCAAATACTTATTAACTTCATGACCCTAGGCAAGTCATTTAACTCTGCCTTAGTTTTCTCATCTGTAAATTGAGCTGGAGAAGGAAATGGCAAACCACTCCAGTATCTTTGACAAGAAAACCCAAATTGACTTATGTGGAGTTGGATACAACCAAAACAACTGAACAATGACAACAGCAAAATACTCTGCAAAATTTAAAGCACTATGTAAATGTCAGTTATCATCATCATCATCATCATCATCATCATCATCATCATCATTACTAGCCTACAGTCACCAGGCATTCAATCTGGTTGTGACCATTATGACCATTTCCTGAGCCTACTACTTCACTCCTGCTGAACTCAAGCAATGTTTATAGAGCAATATGGGAGTGTGTTGATAAATGTTTAACTGGGGCTCTCCAGAAAAAGAAAAAGTATGCAATACACTTTCAGGTTTAATCTGCATTAGTAACACTTTTAAAATTCTAGACAACCAGCAAAACAATAAATCAAGTCCCAATTCGTAGCAGTCACAGATTTCTGAGGTTAAATGTTCACACTGAAAATTTCACAATCAATTCTCATAAGCTGGAGCTGGCTCCAGCACAGCCCTGGTTACAGCTGCAACTTCCTTCTGTCTCCTGGTTGTGTTTGTAGCATGTAAAGATTGATATAATTCACTTTCCCCAGGAGCATGTCAATATTGAATTGTTTCAAATTGCATGACATCTTTTTCTCATTTTTATTCTTTCTTCTAGCTGTGTACTAATTTTGATCTTTTCTCTACCAAGCCTGGCTGACACAGACAGCTGAGTTAGAAATTACTCCTACATCAGTAATAAATTTTTTTCCTATCTGTGAAAATATAATCAGTTTCTTTTGTGTGTGTGTGTGTGATTTTTCAGTGTTCACATCTACTGCCTATTCTTTTGTTGAAGACAGTTTTTAATGATGTAGAGATATCAGGCTTCTGTCTGTAATTATCTGGGCTCTTAATTTTCTAAACTTGACCCCTGTTTTCCAACAAATTTGTTTTTCTCTGCTCATCTATTCCCATTTTTTAATTGAAGTAAACAAGTATCAGAGTGTATGCTGATTTAATTTGGAGAATCTTAAAGAGGTCTCTGTAGAATTTCTCTGCCTCTTCATTTTCTGCCATTGCTGTTGTTGTATAAACTGTAATAAACGTAATATTGGTCTTTTTGCAGGACCTTATCACAAACATTGAAATGGGAGATGACTAAATGTCCCATGAAGGGGGCAGCTAGGTGGTGCAGTGGATAGAGTACTGGCCCTGAAGTCAGGGAGGACCTGAGTTCAAATCCAGCCTCAGACCAAACACTTGAGATTTATTAGCTGTGTGACTTGGGTAAGTCACTCAACCCCAACTGTCTAAAAAATAAATAAATAAATAAATGTCCCATGAAATTATATTTCTTGCTGCCCTTAAGCTTATGACAAACCCAACTCTGCCAGTTCCTTTTCCTCTTCCTCACCTCTTGGTTCTCCAAGGGATACCTGTGGGTCATCCTTCCATTTATCGTCAGCTTCCTTCTTTCTTCTGAATTAATCTATATTGATAATATCAAGATTGATATGATTCAGTTCCTGTAGTGCTATGTTACTCGTTGATCTTTGGATCATATTTTGAATAACAAAGCCAAGTTCAAGTTTAAATGGTCTAAACATTATGATTCTACTCTTTTTTTCCACCACTCTACCACTGTTGTGGCAGAATCAGAAGGGAGTGACATAAAATTCAGGGCCATTTTGCATTTTTCTCTGTTTCTTGGATTACTGCGATGAAAAGAATTCACCACCAAGTGGCCAACCTACTAGGGGTTAGCCTCTCTGTACTTAGGTGGGCTGGCCCTTGGCAAATAGACTCAAGGTCATAGTCAAGGTTATTCCAGCATGATAGAATCTACCGGAGCTTATGCCTAGCATATAACAGATGTTCAATAAATGCTTGTTGAAGGAACAAATCAATTTAGTCAACTCCCTGCTTGAGATAAATATTTATTAGCATATATAAACATATAGACATGAGATAAATATATATTCACATGGGAGATTACTTATTTGGGTAACTATAGCTGGGATATGTGGTGGAGGATCAGGGATCAATTTCTTTCAGAAGAAGCTGACCATCTGTGTCTGTTTGTTTCTGAAAGTCTAGCCAGTCAAATGATTCATTCTCCATGTTGAGCACTTCCTAATACCAAGGAGTCAAAGGAAGGAGACAATGGGACAGGCATATAATTGGGACTGCAGAAGAACTGTTGGCTCATTAAGGGCATACATAGATCAAGTCACTAGGATAAGGTCTTCATTTTCCCCTCCTCCTTCCCCTCCCCCCCCCCACTTTATTTCACAGTTGAATAGTCATTTGTAGGGGGTTATAGCCTCTTGGGGGATGGTAGCATGACTCACCTGCCCACCAGAGGTCATGGACTGTGGTCTGTTCTGGAGACAGCAGGCTGAGTCCTGGTTTTAATTTGAGCCTTAATTATTCCCATCATTAGTTATGTTTCTCTTCTTTTGTTTTGTTATTGGCCAAAGGTAAAGCACAAATCAGCTTAAGGCCAGACTTCTGGGTGAATCCTGGGTTTTATAGACGGGAAAGAGAAGACGCATGTGTAGGGGTTTCATCAAGATAAAAGTCCACATGGCCTGTGCTAGGAAAGAGCCAGTCATAGCATGTAATCAGAGCAATTACCCTTCATTTCTGTTCCCAGATCTTGAATGTGTTAGACTTCAGGTTTACTTCCTACATTTCTCTCCCTCTCCCAGATCTGCAAGTAATTTAACCTTGTTTTTACAGAGCACAAAGACATTCTGCTTGTTTACACTGGAGACAAATTTTCCTCAATTGACGCAATTCTATGGATTAAATAATGGCGTTCTTCCTCATTTAAAGGTAATTTTGGCTGGTATCATGACATGAAAGAGGAAAGTGAATGTTAGGCTCTGTTCATGCTATTGAAAGGCCAACAGCGAAACTTATTTCTTTCTGCTTTGTCATAGGGTCTTCACAGTGAGAACTGAAAGGCCTTGTTATTCTCACCTGCTCTGAAGACTGGGGGATGGGCCACCCCAGTCCTCCATGGGACAAAATCTAGGACCCAACTTGGATGTGGTGAAATGGAAGGAACAGATTTCGTTCCTTACTTGTGGTGTGAGACTGAAAGAGAGCAGATGCTAGTGGGTTTGTTTTTAAAATTTATGGGATTTGCTGCGGTGACTACTGACATACAATAAACAAGGGCCTTTATGGAGTTTTTTTTTAAAGACTCATCATATAAAGGCAACAAATTTTATGTGCATGAAAGACTTCACATTGAATTAAAGAAACCACACAGTCAGATAACTCCTATGGGGTAGGAGGAGAGAAAAATTTGCTGCAGCGTTGAATGTATTCACTATAATAAAAACAGTCTCCTACATTTGCATTCCAGCTATCTTTCTCTCTTCCAAGCTGGACCAGACTATAGTGCCCGGACCACTTCACCCTGCTTTTGCCAAGGTGTCTGCCTAGTCTTCTTTTCCCATTTCCAGCTCCCTTTTATGCCTTGTCATGCCTTGTCTTCCTCTACTGGAATATAAACTCCTGGAGGGTAAGGACTCTTTCTTTTTGCTTATATTTGTGTCCCCAGCACTTAGCACAGTGAGTGGCAGAGAGTAAGAGCTTAAAAAAATCCTCTCTGGGGCAGGTGCAGTAGATAGAGCACCAGCCCTGGAGTGAAGAGGTCCTGAGTTCAAATCTGATCTCAGGCTAGACACTTGACACTTATTAGCTGTGTGACCCTGGGCAAGTCACTTAACCCCAATTGCCTTGACAAAAGAAAAAAAAATTCTCTCTGTCTATCTCTGTGTCTGTCTGTCTCTCTCCCTCTCTCTCCCCTTCTCTGCCTTTCTGTCTCTGTCACTCTCTCTCCTGCTTTTTCTCTCTGTCTGTCTCCAAATTTCTCTCTCTCTCTCTCTTTTGCTTTCCCTCCCTCCTTGCTTCCCTCTCTCCACTGTCTCTTTGTCTCTCTGTCTCTGTCCCTCTCCTTTCCTCTCTCTGTCCCTCCCTCTCTGTCTCTCTCCAAATTTCTTTGTCTCTCTATGCCTTACAATTAGAGGTTAGTGAAAATAAAGTTGTAATTTTTTTTTCATGCAAGTTCATGGACCCCTAGGTTAAGAATTCTTGGTCTAGACTCCAGACTCAGAGAAATTGTGATAGTAATTTGCCCACAACTGTAGGAACAGTGGATGCTAAGGATCAGGAAGTCAGAGGCTCTTGGCCAGGGATTTGACCCCAGGTACTCTGCTTTCACATAGAGGTTTTTCCATGGGCCTCCTTGAGGCATGGACCACAATAAGCCCCTTGACCAGGTATTGGAACCAAACCTGTGCCTTGGCAAGACTGCCACCTCAATCATATCCTTGCCAGAAGAAAGGTCAAGTCCATTCCTGTGGGCAAACTAAGAGACCTCTTTCCTCAGCTTCTATCTTCCTTTCACTTCCTGGTCCTATAATCCAAACTTTCTTCTAGCTTCTCCATGAAAGCTTCCTAGTAAGAAGTGGCAAATATCTCAAGGGGAGCTGCCTGAATAGTAAGGTTAACATTGGACTAGCAGGAAGGGGGAAGTGTCAGCTGTGGAGGGCTGGTGATTAAGCATAGCATACCCAGCAGATGCAATACGCCCCAAGGAAGAGGCTGGGGAGCCTGCTCCCAGCATAGGCTGATGTGATGTAGAAGAAGTGCCCTGCTCCTCGATTTGGGCCAAGAGTGGACATTCTGCTAACCGCTTGAGAAAGAGACAGATTGTTGATAGGCTGTGTAACTGCAACTGAGATGCATTCATAAGGCCCTATCAATATCAATCAATGTCAGTTAAGCACCTACTATGTGTCAGACACTGTTCTAAGCACTGGACTAACCTATAAAAGTAAGGTCTTTGCTTTCCTCCATCTTTTTCCTCTCTAGCTATTGTCTGAATAGGAGGCAGGTAGGGGGCTTAATGGGTAGAGCTCTGGGCCTGGAGTCCAGAAGACCTGAGTTCAAATCCAGCTTCAGACGCTCACTAGTTGTGTGACCCTGGGCAAATCACTTAATCTCGGTTTGCCTCAATCCACTGGAGAAGAAAATGGCAAACCACTCCAGTATCTTTGCAAAAGAAAACCCCATGTGGGGTCATGAAGCGTTTGACGTGACTGAACAACGGTTGTTTGAATAAGAGAGAGAATACTATAAGGGAGAGGCCTTGGGATCTCCCCATCTGAGGCCAACATATGGGCCTCTGTACTTTGTCTCTGCATCTTTTCTGTCTTACTTTTAGATGAAGGAATACCAGAGACAGCTATGATCTTATGAACTTCAAAAGGTCAGCATAGCAGGCCAGACCAGTAATGATGCCCTGTTGAAGTGACCTGAAGGACCCAGCCTAGTGGCAGGTGAGAGTATACCACGTTTAGAAGTAAACCTGGGGCAGCTAGGTGGCTCAGTGGATAGAGCTCCAGCCTAGGAGTCAGGAGGACCTGAGTTCAAATGTGGTCCCAGACACTTGACACTTACTATCTGTGTGACCCTGGGCAAGTCACTTAACCCTGATTGCCTCACCAAAAAAAAAGAAATAAAAAAATAAAAAAGAAGCAAACCTGAGTGGGTGAATCTTATATAGAAATTACATTAAGTTTGAACCTAGTCTCTCCAGGGGCCAAGGTAGAATAGGGGTGAGTGTACCTGCAGGTGATTGGAGTAATATTTGTATTCCTCTTCTTGCTGTATCTGTGAGGTAAATATGCTTTTGCTTTTAATTGATGTTAATCATTTAAATGAATCTGAGGCACTGATCCCTAGAAGTTAATAGTAAAAAGACCACACTGGAATGGGGACTTCCACTGATAGGATTAAACAAAGATTTCCCTGAGCCATCAGGAATACTCCTAGAACCATAAAGAGGAGATGTAGTCTGTTTCACTCTGGGAGAGTGAGTTCAGAGTCTCACTACATTTCAATAACTACTATTCTCTGGCATGGACCATGGAGGGAGGGAATAAACACTTATTAAGGGCCTACTATGTGCCAGGCCCTGTGCTAAGCCCTTTAAAAATAGTATCTCATTGGGTCCCCACAATAACCCTGGGAGATCGGTGTTCTTATTATCTCCATTTTACAGTTAAGGAAACTGAGGTAGACAGATGTTAAATGACTCATGCAGGGTCACACAGCTAATAAGTATCTGAAGCTGGGTTTGAAATCAGGTTCTTCCTAACTTTAGGCCTAGCACTCTACTCACTGAACCACCTGCCACGGTACCCAAGTCAGCTTTGCCATTATCACTCTCTCTTTCTCTACTTCTCTTGTCATCTTCTGCTTGGTGTCTTTTTTGAAATACTGGTTACTTAGAATCTGAGTCCATTCCTTTTAAAGGCAAAGTTCTCTTGATTTCCCTGGGGATAATAATAGCATCTACCTTCCAGGATTGTTGTGGGGCTAAAATAAGAAAATATTAGTAAAGTACATTGTAAGCCTTAAAGCCTTATATAGATGCTGATGATTATTGTCATAATAATAATTATTGTTATATGTACATAGGTTATATGACTCCAGGTCTAGTACTCTTCTTTTCCCATTTTCTACCTTTGATTGGTCAGGATTAAGTATCTCAGAGCTGGAAGGGACCTCAGAGGCTATCTAGATCAACCTACCAGTTTTACAGATGAGTAAACTGAGGCCCAGGGAGGTTTCACAGTATCAGAGGGGGATTTGAACCCAGGTCCTTTGAATTCAGAGCTAATACACTATTCTAAGGAAAAGATAAAACATGGGGAATTGCATGGTTTCATGAGAAATAATTGAGGCACTTCAGCAGAACATGAAATTGTGTGATCATGGGAAAGTTGCTTTGCTTCTTAGAATAAATTTACTCGTCTGGACAATAAAGTAATTGGACTAGAGGACCCTTAAGGTCATTTATAATTCTAAAATTCTACAATTCTATGAAAACTGGAGATTTTGTTCTTATTTATGCTCACCTCAGTCTCTTTCTGTGATGCATTTAAAAGGTCTCGGGCAAGCCAAGAATCCAAGTGAGAAATAGATGCTCAGTGTGTCTGGGAGTTTGGCCTAGGCCCTAACCCTCTGATTAGTTAGTGCTTCCTTGAGGCCTAGAGGGGTTCATGGGAAAAATATCTTAGACTAAAGGAAGCAGTTTCAAAGAGAAATCAGAATTCTGAGGAACCTGGGGAGAGAAAGGCCTGAGTTAGGAAGGAGCAGACTCAGAACCATAAGTTTATAATTGGAATGAACTTTATAGGTCACAGATAAAGAAACTGAGGACCAGGCATTTGAAGTGACTCACCCAATGTGGCACAGTACATAGAGTGCTGGGCCTGGAGGCAGGAGGACCTGAGTTCAAATTTGGCTTCAGACACTTACTAATTCTATGACCCTGGGCAAGCCACTTAACCCTGTTTGCCTCAGTTTCCTCATATGTAAAATGAGCTTGAAAAAGAAATGGCAAACCATTCTAGTATCTTTGCCAAGAAAACCCCAAAGTGGGGTCACGAAGAGTCAGACATGACTGAAACGACTAAACAACGTTTGCCCTCTGAATGTCATTGTGGATCTGAAGACACTGGACACAGGGGTATAAGCCACACGGGTATGGACTCCTTATTCACTTTCAAGATCACATTTGATCACAGATCTAGAGTAGGAAGGGATCCCCAGCAGCTCATTTTATGGAAACTGACACCAGGGACGTTAAGTAACTTGCCCAACCAAGGTCACACAGGTAAAGAAGAGGTAGGATTTGAATCCAAGTTCTTTGATTCTTCAAGCCAGATTCTATCTCTCTGCCAGCCCAGTGCACCAGGGAAGATTCTTTGACCCAGGTCAGGTCTCTCTGATGAGTCCAGGCCAGGTCAAGCTTACTCATCATTCCAGAAACAAAGGGGAGGAAAGCCTTTGCTTGGTAACCTGGGGTCATCATTACGAACATCAATGACTTTACTGCATTGCAGTGATGCCCTCAGGGGCTGGTGGGGTGTAGAGTATTTCACTCCTCCCACTCTAAATGACCCCTGACTACTGGGCTTTTTGGGTTTCCCTCTCTCTGCCCAATTGTCACTTCTTTCTTCTGTCTCTCTGTGCCTGCCCTTAGTGCCTTCACACTCTTCTTTCCCTTCTAATTTGATGCTTTAATTATTATTATTAAATATCTAATAATTAATGGGGATTAATTAAATGATAATTAAATAAATGGGAATTAATATCTAATATTAATGGGGAAAGTCACTTTCCTTCTCTAGGTCTTAGTTTCCTAAAAATAAAAATTAAAAAAAGAGAAGAATTTGCTGGTCTACATGGTTTCCTGTCCAATGCAAACCTTCTATTCCTCTGTCTAATCTTTCATGGTGGTAGATTCTGAGAAGGCAGCAGCTGTGCATCAAAGAGGGTTCACAGCTGTCTAGAGTGATTGATTCCCCCTTGGCTTTAACAGATCACCAGTGCATAATGCTGGTAATTGGTGGAGTAGTTCTATTAGGAAACTGGCCTCTGGGTGTTTGTGCTGAAATGCAGAAGAATTTTGAGGGCTGGGGTTGATTTGAGTTACAGTTTTAGAGCTGGAAGAGACCTTAAAGGTCAGCTAATTCAACTGCCTTGTTTTACCGATGAGGAGACTGAGGCCAGAGAGGTGACTTGTTTAAGGGCCCATGGGTAGAAAGTAGGTGATGAAGCTGGGAGTTGAACCTGGCTCTTTTGGCTCCAAGCGTGGGGTTCTTTTCCATTGCACCATGATTATTTTTATTGGGGGAGAGGGTCAATTAAGGTGACTCTGTGAAAGTTGGAGAAGTGTGAGATTCAAGTTAGGGCATAGGCCACTTAGGACCCTGGGAGTCAGTTCTAGGTTCAGTGTGAGTCTCGAGTTGTGGCCTTGGGGGGTTGTAGCTCCTAGGGTGAGGCTGAGGCATGTTTTCCTTGGGCCCTAGCGTTGATTCTCACAAAGTGTTATCAGTATTTAGAGAGTAGTGATGACAAAGCCCAGGCAGATGCTAGATCTGATTAGCTTAGCTCTAAGCCCCTAGAAGTGGCCACATGGGAACAAGAGACTAGCAGGGCTAGAAGAACAAACAGACCAGGCACTTGGGGTGCTTGAGAGTGATTAGAGTCAGGGGGTCCATGCAAGGGAAGCTGGGAAGCCAGAGAATGAGACTTACTAGATCACACTTTTTACCTTTCTGTTACATTTATGGTATCCTTCTTTGTTCCCATAGAGGATCTGTCTGGTAGTCTAGTAGACTGTAAGCTCTATGAAGGCAAGGACTTTGCCTAAAGGTAGCACAGTGATCAGAACACTGGGCCCAAAGTCTGAATTCAGCCTCAGACACTTAATCTTTGTCTGCCTCAGTTTCCTTAACAATAAAATGGGGATAGTAATAGTATCTAACTCCCGGGTTTGCTGGTGAAGATCAAATGAGATTACATTGGTAAAGTGCTTAGCATGGTGCCTGACACAAAGTACCTGTTTAATAAATGTTTGTTTCCTTCTTTAAACTTTGTATCTTTCTCAGCTACTTTAGAAAGGTAGGGCTTCCAAATACCCACTCTTCAGACTAGGAAAAAATGTCTTGGCTGCTTTTCAGCCCCATCAGGAGAGCTGGTCAATTCTCAGGGTGTTATTTGCTCTCTGAAATGAGATTTCTCACCCCTCGGAGCCAAGGTCTTAGAACACAGAACAGCCAGTTAGCCAAGTAGGGCCTGTAAGCTCTATGTCCTGTTTCAAACATCTATTTCCTGCTCACTGAGGTTTATTTTCCTGTTAATTTTTCCTATTAATTTTGTTGTTGTTGTTCACTTGTGTCTGACTCTTTGTGACCCCATTTGGGGTTTTCTTGGCAGATACTGGTGTGGTTTGCCATTTCCTTCTCTGGCTTGTTTGGTATATTTTAACTGAGACGAACAGGGTTAAGTGACTTACTCAGGGTCACATAGTAAGTGTCTGAGGATGGATTTGAACTTAGGAAGATGACTCTCCATTACTTCAGACCCCACACACTATCTACTGTGTCACTTAGCTACCCTCCTCATAAATCCGTAAGTGTTTTAAATTATGCCATGTTTACTAGGTGTGTGACCCTGGGCAAGTCACTTAACCCCAATTGCCTAAATAAACCCAAACAAACAAACAAAAAATATGCCATTACCTGTGCTTGGTGCTAGAGATACAAAAAACAAAAACAAAAGCCAACACAACCCCAAAAAATCCAAAAGTGAGGCAGACCCTGCCCTTAAGGAGCTTATTTCTAGTCTATGGCATTCTGTCAGAAGCCTCCAACTGACTTGGACTAGAAATTCTATGTTCCTGCTTAATGTCTTATTGCTATGTTGAATCCACTCAGTATCATTGTACCACCAAGGGTTCTCTAAGTCTGAGGCCTCC